ATAACTGCGAGCTGAATAATTATAATATACTAAATTTAAATTTGTCACAATTTTGCATAATTTTTGCATTTATATTCACTTTTGTTAGTTTTACTTACATGTTCATTAAAAACAGTATAAATGTGAAAATTATTTGAAAAATTAAAATAGGCAAAAAGTGACATTTTTATTTGCTATCTTTTATCACTCACTGATTTGAATGGACAAAATTTGATTAAGCAAACTTTAAATCTGAATCTTTTCAAAACTTAACAGCAATTTGTATGCAAAAGTTAAGTAAAAGAACGAATGGTGCTGCAAGTATATAGCATTACTTCGATAGCATCGCTGATGCCTGCTTCATACTTACTTTACAACAATTCTCAAAGCTCGTATTTACTTTGCAAGACTTCAACCAAAACATTACTATGCAAATTTTGTATTATCGATTTGCATTTAGTGATGCTTTCAATGTACAATAAAAAATATTTGCAACACAAAGTTTATATGCATGTGTATAAGTATACGTACGTTTGTATGAATGTTTTTACACAGTAATGTAAAAAAGTATTTGCAAATTAAGTACACATTTGTTGAATTAATTTAAACAGAATGTTATATGAATATTTATTTTAGCGCGTTTTTGATAAGATTAAAATAAATATTTGAAAAAATAAAGCAGCGAAAAGAAAAATAAACTCAAAAGAAGCAGTTGAAATTACGCAAAAAGGATCAGAGGCGAAAGTTCGAGCTCTGAGTCTCAACTAAATGCATCTCGAGCTCAAAATATCACACAAACACACACTACCAATCATTGCAAGCATTTCAACTGATTTTACACTTAGCGAACTTTCTCTCTTAGCAAGCAATTGCTTCTAAACATTTAATTGTAGCAAAAGTTCACAAAGTAACTAAATTAGTGGGCACACATCACAAAGTTTGTTCAAAAGCACTCACTCAGTAATTGTATTTTGTGGAACACTTTAGTTGCTGATTTATTCGTTTTTGAATTTTTGAAAATATTTGAAATGATTAATCTCTGCCGAAAATGAGCACATTTAAATAATCATATTAGCAACAATCAGAAATAATTCTTAAAAATATTATTTGACTTAATTCCCTCAGGATATTTATAGTTTATAGTCTAATATATTTGTCCATTCATGTAATTATCAATGATAAAATAGTTATGACAGTGCAGTACTATGGACAAGACTCCCAGTATCAACATGGTTGCATTATTCGTTCTTTTCAGTCTTAAGGATTAATCCAACTTGCTAGTTTGTCTATCGATAAAATATGTTATAATAGTATTGTATAGGAGCTAAATTTATGCAAGATTTGAATTTATATTTATTAAATATATTATTTACTCGGCATTATACATATTTTTTGATCGCCAACTGATATCAGTCTATACAAATCGTTAGAACAAGCAAGAAATAAATACTCTTCAGTTGATCAGATTCAGTACATAATATTCCAGTGATACTTTTCATACTTTACCACTGAAAAGTTATTTGTGCGATATCTATGAACTCTATTGAATATGCGCCAAACATCGATATTAAATATTGCTATTTCAATTTGTGAGTTTTATTCAAAGTTTTTTTCTTTTTTTAACGATGGAAACAATTACTTATCTAAATGCAAAAAAAGTCTTTTACTTTCAGTTTCTTGAGAAATACATGAAGAGTAACGTAACTAATACATTTGTTTTTCCGTTTAAATCATTACAATTTCTCAAATTCTCTAATTTTCTAATTACTAATATTATAGATCGTGAAAATTTGAGCAAACTTAGATACAGCGTTGCTCTGGCAAAAATTTGATGAATATTTTCGGTGAAGT